TCCCTATGAACCTACACGTTCTCGCGCCTCTTTCGAAGCTGCAAGGCTTCACCCTGGACAGATAAAGTTCGAATCTACAACTCCTCCGCCTCCTTCCCTCGCAACGATTGCAACAATACCCTATGAGCTGGCCCCGCCACCTCAGGTCACTTACACAAATGGGAATGGGTCGAGCATTGATCCTAACTCTAGCAGCCCAGCCCAGACATTTTCATCTCCTGTGACTCATTCACTCGCACGATGCGATGTTAGCCCTACTCCAACAAACAACTTTGACCCAAGTTCATTCCACAATACTTTCCCTTCAGTTGTGCCAGGCCTACATCACTGGGACCCCAATTATACTACAGCATCCACAACAGCCAGTTATCTTACGTATCCTAGTGCCACAATTGATCCCATGTCATGGTTAGGCACCATTGGAGAGCAATACTCCCAGTTCTTTAACCAGCCATACCAATCTAATATATTCCGAGATCGAAGGCTGAGCTATGAGGAACATGCAGAACTTATGGATACCCTCGGTCACGATCTACCAGACATCTCACAACTAGCTGAAGAAACAGCTACGTTTTACACTCCTAGCATGGTACCTTAACACAACACTGTGCTGGCACTACTTCAATTACCATTCTGGAACTCCTATTTCACGTTATTTTTAGTTCCTGGCTTGTGCTTCGATTCTAACAAGTGATGTTTACGTCGAGGTGGATAGTTATATTTCCTTCTTTTCGTTCAATTATCGGCCCAGGCTTACACTTGCTACCTCTCCCATGTTTTGGGACGAGAAAAGTCCCTTCATCACGATTTATCCTGTCTACATATATATACCCCAGGGAAAACAGAATAGCCTTGTAGCTCTGTCTTTACCCTCAAGGTCCATGCAAGGTTATTATTAATGATGAGAACTTTTAACTAGTTCAGTCTTTCTACGGGCACTTTAATGGTACGATCATTATGGTTTCTTTGATCCCATATACCCCCTTCGTTTATGCTCTACACTTTTTGTCTAGATGTTACAATATCCAGTTATTGGATACAATTTTGGTTCTTGTAGCTAAATCCAATCAATTCTTTGGCCGGTCAAATAGAAAGAAAAAAAACCATTGTATTCAAAGCAACAAAAGATACAATTTATCACCCACGGGATGACACCAAGGTTGGTTTGTTTAATTTTTCTTTGGAACTAGACACATATGTACGTTAGTTGCGCTGACGATACACGTGCTATTTGGTCTGTCAAACCAAACAGCCAAACCCCGTATCATCAGCTCAGTTTGCTCGCCCGCAAAGCATCTTTTCGGGTAAGAAAAGAAAAAGCAACAAGCAAAACGGTAGAAAACAAATAATATCAGGGAAATGAAGTATTATGCAGAGGCTTTTCTGAGAGTGAATCTATTGTCACTCTAGCCTTCGCCACGTTAAGGGAAGTTGGGATCGAACCTGAAAAACATCGCTGTGTAAAAGGCAATAGTAAAAATATGGGAACGAAAAAAAGCAGATAAAAACGACAAGAAAGAACCCAATATAACCACCGTCCTGTTGAACCTCCGGAAACACCGCGAAGTAGGGAAAAGAGGAATGATTGCACATCTAACGCCGTTTTGACCGAAGCGGGTATATCCTGCACCACTATGCAAATTTGAAGAATTAAGGAGCTTTAAGTCCAAGGTGTCAAGAGAATAAATGTGGGAAGGGGGGAGTAGGCGACATGGAGCCTCGTGGTTTGCACCGAGATATGTTTGGTGTGTAAAGAAGTACACCGCGCGTTAATGCTGTTGCGGGTGAGTAACTGGAAGAGTAAAGATGGGGTGGGGTTTGTTAGTCCATATGAATGCATGGATTCATTGTTTGAAAGGGGTAGTTTAGTAACGATGCTCCACGGGTCACAGTTGATTATTCGAGGTCTATTGTCATCGGGCACCAATGCCGAACATTCCAACGCCGTAGCTGCCGCCTCGCTCAAAAGGCGGAGGGCCTCCTGTTGCATGTTCTTGCTGTAATATGGTAAGTAATGATATCAAAGAGTATAAAAAGGTAGGTATCCAAGAACAGGTAGGACAATAAACATGCAGGAAGAACGAACCATCTTCTTTCGTTTTTTCTTGCCTACGCTGCCCCCGTCATCATCATTGGAATAGAGAGAGCCTTCCAAGTCATCATCATCGGGAAATCCTTCGCCATACCCGACAAAGCTGCTGTCGTGGTAGCTTCTTTTGCGGCCTGCACGTTTGGGGCGACCCGGATCTGGCGCAACTGTCGCAGAAGAGGCTTGAGCCGCAGGTGTACCGTTGCTTTGAGGAGTGTTTTTGAAGGAGCTAGAGCCTGGTTTCTTCGGTAACTGCTCAGCAGCATTCTTCGATGATTTTTCGTGCCCGAGTACGTCTTCCCAATATTCATTTCTTGGCGTAATACCTGGTTCCATTTTCATAGCTCTGAGTTGTTGCTTGTAGAATGCGGTATCCGGCTCCGCGATCGTGATCTCCTTGCCCGCAACCTTTTGGTTGTACCATTCTTCATCAGGCCACATCATTAAATTCCGTAGTCCACCAGGGGCACCCGGTTCTTGTTTAACTGGCTTATTTCTACCAGCCAGACCCAAACCCTTGATCTTCCCTTCGTAAGACTTCCGTAGCCGATTTATCTTCTCACCTGTTACGGGATCTGTGCGAGCGACCGAGGCAGCTATAGGTCCAAGGCCGTAGAGGGATACGATATCGAACTTGGGAACTGGCAGAGTCGAGGTGTAGGCTATCCGTGTTAATACATCATTATCCAACTCAAGCGCCAAAAGAAAACTAAAACAAGGCGCTTGAACAGGGAAAATCAGCAAGAAGAAGCCTTACAGGATTTGCAGAGGCCTATTGCCTCTCCAACGTCTCGCTGGAGAGACTCTAGACTTGGTTCTTCTGACAGGCCAGCTCCTTCTTTCAGGTCAATATCCATAGGATCATGATCATTACTATCGTTAGAGGACGGTTTCTGCGTATCAATACTCTTCTCGTTATTGTGGTGGTCATGCGCCAAAGGTTTCGTGTCGCTTCCAAGTGTCTCGAAAGGGATCTTTCCGTCGGCAAATGACGCGGCGATCGCGCCTGGGCCATCAGATCCATCTCTTGCGAGACCGCTAGTACTACTAGCTGGAGTTGGGCAGGAGGTGGACGTCGTTACAGTCGACTGAGAGACCGAGTGTGGCTGCATGGCGACTGACGACGGGGGAGAAGCGAGGTTAGCCGACTGGGCGGCCGTATGGGCTGGAGACGTCGACTTTGTCGTGGACGAGCTTGATTCATAGTTCTGAGGACTGAATGACATCAACGGGGAGAGATAAGTGACGGCAAAAAGCGCTTCAGGTGGTCAAACGAAGAGTGAACGCGGGCGTGGCTCCGGCGAGCCTGGATGTGGCGATGGTGGAAGGGATCGGGTCGGAGAACAGACGAGGAAGAAGACGAGCGGGCGGCATCAGACGGCGGCGGCGGCGCGGCAGAGGGGGAGAGACTGCCAGGACGAAGCGATCCAAAGCCCTCTACCGTCTTCTTCGGCGTGCGATTCGAGCAGGTGGCGGCGTGCAAAAGGTCGAGATCCTGCGGCGAGTGGCTTGTGAAGTTGAAGTTGCAGAAGTTGAAGAAGTTCGACGTTCTTCTTTTGGGGCAGGAAAAGTTGGAGGCTGTGCTTAGTCAGAGCTTAGTCAGGACTTTCTTTTTCACCTCACTAAAAAGTTTCTATTATTATTTATTTATCTAACGTCAAACATCAACAGGACGACAAGGTGACAAGGCGGCAGACGACAAGAAGGACAACAAAGACGAGAGGGGGAGACGCAGGCGGAGTCGAAGTCGAAGTCGAAGGATGCAGACAAAAGGAGACGTTTGCTTTGTGTGTAACTGCTGTGCTACGGTAGTGAAGCCTCAACCGCGTCCGCCAGTCCAGCCAGGTCGTCAAATTGCCATCCAAAGGCTACTTTTCCTCCATCGAGATACTCGCAGACATCGGTTCCCATGCTGCTCGATCCGCTCCCTCTCGCGATCCAGACGCTACTGAGGCCCATCTTCTTCGCAGGCTCATGATCATGGTGCAGGCTTTGCGCTACGTGAAGGATGTCTGCTGGCTCGACACCAAACTCGGACTTGACGTGTGAAACCAGATATTCGAAGTTGCGCAGGTTCGGCTTGTACGATCCAATGTCCTGTGCCGTATATATGGCGTCGAAGAAGGGCTCCTCTGGTGCCAGTCCATCTCGCAGCCCTGCCATCGGCCCGGCCAGCGTATTGGAGAAGGACTCGCGGTCCACGTTTGACAGCGGGACAAGCTTGTACCCTTTCTTCTTTAGCCGGCGCATGGCGGCCACGGTGTCAGGGAAGGGGGGCCAGCGGCCGACACTATTGCCGACTGCCGTTGACTCTTTGTCTAGAAGATGCTCTGTTGCCGGGAGAGATTGTGTCTCCCTTGCTAGACGCTCGTAAGCCTCCTTGACGACCAGGTTGTAAGCTAACCCAGGATTATCCACTTGTATAGCCCGCTCATGTTTACCGTACAAGTCTCCAAGCTTCTTCCTGTCGGTTTTCAGGGGATTAGAGTGATCTAATCGTTGGACTAGGGGCTTGAGGGCCTCATGGATTCCACTCTCCCAGTCGATCAGGGTGCCAAATATATCAAATGAAAGGAGACGGAACGTGCTTAGGGGACGTTTACAATCCATTTCTTGTTTTGATTAGGCAAAAGCTAGTTATCTGATGTGGTGGTGCCGTCCAGAAGATGAAGATGCTCGCCTCTGTTCTTCTTTTTGTACCTTTGTTTTAATTCTAATACATTCTCGAGCATT